GCGGGAAAGGGGAAGCGGGAGTTGCTCGTCCTCCGTCCCTCCGAACGTGTGGGAAATGTGGGAAAAATGTGGGAAAGAAAATGTATAATGTGTATAAATTTCAAAAGTATTTGTTTCTTCTTGTTGTATTTGAGAAAATGGATTTTAATCTTTATGTATTATTACCAAAATCAGGAAGTAAAATTAAAATATATATACACACAAGTATGACTGGGACACATACACTGAAAAGTATCTGTTGTTCCAGGCAAACCTTAATTTATGCTTATGCTGCATCTCCACACACAATTTATTCCTACAAGGAAGTTTCATTCAGCATCAAAGTGATCACAACAGGAGCTTCAGGTAATGGAAAAAAATAAACACACATCACACAACCAAGTATTGCCAACTTCAACTTTAATAATGGAACGATCAACTTTTTTTTTGCCATTTCAGTAATAACTTTAAGGGGAATAAAAACTTCCCTACAAAAATAAAACTAAGCTTGTCAAAATTATAAATAGTTTAAGTGTTTGTTTTTAAAGACATATATTTTAATGTTTCCCTGCATTCCCCCTCCCTCCCTGCCCATATCATTTAATCATTCTGGTACCATCATATAATGAAATGAAAACAGTTTTGCAACAAAAGCTTTGACAGTTCAGTTTGATGCTAAAATTTAAAAAAAGAGAAAAACTGACTTCTTTTAAATAAAAGCTGTTGTAATTGCCAGTGTGTAAAAAAAGAAAAAAAAAAAAAGAAAAAACCCCACGCATGACATCTTACAACAATTAACTGTGGACTAAGACAAAATTAAAATAGAAGTTTATTTTGGTCCCCCACCCCCACCCCCTTCACCCCAAATCAAGACTCATAGTGCATACAACACTGATTGAGGTTTTTGGCTAAAGTAAATGCAGATGCGCCTACTTAAAAGACTGATAGTTTAAGTTCAAGTAAAAAAATTCACATATTTTTATACTCCACTTTTAAACTCAAACAGTGTTTAAATCTGAGCAACAAATGGTTCAATATTGACAGCGATTATGTACTGATTACGTAGTTATGGGCAGATACATAAATTAAGTAGATGTTAACAGAATACCCACCGACATGCTGCTGCATTCATAGAAAAACAAATTGTAACAAAACATAAAAGCATTCCCTGAACCATTATAAAGTGTCTCACTTGAGGATAATGTTACTAACTCACACATGCACTACAATGTTACATGTGAAATTAAAAAACAAACAAGATATGCCTTATATATACTTTATAGTTAGTCCTATTCTTAATTTCTCTTAACACTTTAAAACATTATGATTGTCTCATTAAGCTTGCAAATTCTTTTTACCAAAAAAAACCAACTGTGAAGAGTTTAAAAAAAAAGTCTTACTAAGGAAAGGAAACAAAGGCACAATTACATCAAATTAAGGGGAAGAACAGAAGCATCTTGGAGTTTCACACAGTATCCATTAGATGTCACCAAAGTTTTAACAATTCCACCAAAGAGTGGTGGGACACCCCCCCGCCCCAACTTCTGCTGCTCTTAAATCGTTAGCACTCCTCCACCTCTCCCCAGTATATAACTCATTTCTTCTCTGGTGTGATAATGACTACAGTATCAGGTATTCAAATCTGCCTCATGCTTCTATTGCACACCCACTTCTTTGGTTTCTTTTGAATGTGCTTCTTTAGATAAATAACTCTGAAAGAACAATTTTATTTACAGTAAAAAAGTTTTCTTGCTACATTTTTCCTACTTTTAAATCAAGTAAATCAGCAGTCTGCAGAATTTGGTAACCAGTTTTTCAATTGAGAATTTAAAAAACATAGGGAAAAAACCCTTCTGAATTACTAAAAGCAAGAGTTACTAAGCTCAGTCACCAACGCAGCCAATAAATGTTAATTTTCTGCTAAGCTGGAAACATGAATAAGAAGTTCTACTTCCTCTGCCCGACTGAGCCTTTAACAAAGCAGCAGAGGAAGCTATTTTTGTCTTTCAGATAATTCAAAATTATCCAGCCTAAAAATGAATCACTGAGCCAGAGGAAAGATCTGACTTCCAGTGAAGACCAAATGCATCAACAGTTATAGCTTATGTCTAAGCACTCACTAGACAGGCATTTCTCACAGAGTTATCTGAGACATTGTCCACTTTTCAGAATTCAAGTAAGCAGCCACCTTTTAGCTTTGCTGCACTTTTCAACCCTCCATTTACACATTTATGGAACCAGCTTCTCCAATAACGACTTGTATGTGCAGCTCCACTTCCATTCTTATTTAGCTTTTGCCTCTCATTCTTTCCCATTATTTCTATTATCTTTATTTCTTTTCCAGTGTGGATTTATGCAGTTAAAAAACCATAAAACTTATTCACAATATTATAACATCCTAAAACTTTAATCTTGTAGAATTAGTATTTCAAACTTTCCTCTGTATAAATACTATTTCAATTTAAAACCAGTCCTCCTCTGTCAGCTGTTAGTTTCCTTCCTCAACTCTTACCTTCTTTTCAACTTTCTCTTTACCCTCTCCAGAAAGACTAATTTAAAGCCTTCCACAAATCTCACAGAACAAACCAGATGATCACATATGCCTTCCATCTATAACAGTTCTCTCACAAATTATACAGTAACTATTTGAAAACAGAAAGGTAGTGCAAATCAATTTCATCTCAAAGATAGTGCTCCAACTAATTGTTGTCCAGACAGTTTAATTAATTTTTTTTAACTCATCAATTTGCACATCCTTACTTCTAAAGCTACCATTAAAGCAAAGAAGAAAAAAAAAAAAATCTTATTTCATAGCATCCTAGAAAATTGATTACAGTTTCACAGCTTGCATCAAGGTAACTTGGAAAACTCTAGGCACACAGAGGGTTGCAGACTGATGTACAAACATGCAGAATCCCTTACTTGTGGGTGCAGGATGCTAAGTGACCTGGCTTACGGAACTAAGTCTATAGCAAAATTCAGGTACCCTGGCATCAAAAAACAGTCTTCTGAATAAAGAAAACTACTCTCTGCTGCTCTTTGTACATTGGGTTTGGCATGCTATACTGACATTTGGTAACGTGCGTTTTTCCTGAGTGTCCTTTGGCCCCCTTTTAACCAGGTTTCCACACCCCACCAAGGGCTTCTTCAAGTTTGTCTCTGTAAGCTGCGTAACGCTTCTTTAAGATTTGCAGTTGCTCATTTTCCTCTTTGTCCAGTATACGCAAGAAGTTTTGCAGTTCAGGAATACTAAAAGCTTCCCACTGGAAACAGAAAACCAGAAAAGAATAGATGAGATAAATAGAAAATACACAAATAATGTATATATACACAGTATTTTTAAACAAAGCCTCAGACACTCAAAACAATTTCAAACTGAAACAGTATCAGGCACCTCCTTTGCAAACCTTAGGCATCTGAGAATATTTTGCTTTTTAAAACTGTTTTTTGTTCTGCAAGTAACAATGGGTCAGTATAACCACAGACGAAATGTTTACAAAAGGCACAAAGTAAATATAACAAGAAAAAAAAAATCTGCTTCCAAAAAATGGATCGTCTTGTCAGCACAGATCAAACAGGAGCCCACTCATCCATGAAGTTAAACACATACACAAAACCAGCATGAGTTAACATACCATAACTTCTCCAGTTTCATGCTCACGTAGAACAAAGCTGAGCATTTCTGTTCTGGGGCCTGCCACCAAACGCAGGTAGAGGGGATGTTCTCGATCTGACAGCTTGCATGTATAAACTGCAGGAGAAGGAATCACAGTCGTTATCTTTACTGATGTTTCAAGTGCTTTGAATGATTAACGCTAGCTAATGTTCGAAAATTTCAGAGATATGCACGTGTAGCCACAAAATTTACACGTTCTACATACTGTTTACACATCAGTCTACATACTGGTTTTGAGCAAATGAGTTTTAGGGAGAAGCTGAGCAGATGGCCGAAGGTAACTGCAACACTACTGTCACATAGGAATGAAATGGCGTCTAGTCAACACAGTACATCATCTGAATACAAGCATGGGAAAAAACACAAGAAAAAAATACAACACAGATCTGTCGCTATAACTAAGCATTCAAGACATCAGAGCTGTGGTATCACCATTGTGATACCTTTTCCACTCTAAAACGTCATACACAATGTCTTAAAGACAACCGCGCCTGCCTGACACAGTTGATGTGACCGACAGCCAGAAACATCTCAACTCTTGAAACTGTTCTCAACGTCCATAGAAGAAGGTGGATTCTAAGTGCAAGAACACAATGTTGGCAAAACGCGCTTTTCACTAAAAATACCTTTTGCACCTACTGTTATTTCCAAACACAGTATACAACAAACTTCTAACAGGAGTCAGTGCCCTGGGAGACCCACGTGCACTAACACACATGAACACAGTGCATGCATGTGCCCACGATGCTCACAACCTCAACAAGTGTCTGCCAGCACAAGGACTTCAGGTATCAGACACTGCGGTTTCTCTTTTTAAAAATTTGTCCTGTAATTTAATCTCACAAATCTGCAGTATATCAGGCCATCTGAAATTCAGAGCCTGGTAAGGGGGCATCTTAAAATATAACGGACTGCAAGGCACAGGAGATCTGCGTAGATCATTTAGTGGGTTCTCTTTTGTGAATTATCCTGAAATATCCCCAAATCATTTACTCTCTTACACATGCTACTTTTCACAAGGAAAAAAAAGACAAGAGAGATCAAGATTGCGCCCTCCATTTATGCAAGTTCTTCCACCCTGCTTTTTTTCAAGTACTCCTACAGCACAACTCCCTCCTCAAACCCCCGTAACTACCAAAATGGCACAAGCCTAACTTATACCTTGGTCTTCCTTGTGACAGCGTTTATAAAGTGCAAACTTCGCAGGGTTATCAGCCACAAAAAACTTTTTGAGCAAGGCCTCAATAACTTCACGAACAGTGTTGGTGCTGCTGATGTGAAGCGTATTCACACAGCCATCCGGCAAGTAAAAAGCAGTTTCATTATTGCTGTGAGCACACCTCCCCTGGCTCTGGGAAGACTGCACAGTGATCGGTCTGCATAGTTCCATCTGAACTTTGATGAAGCCAGTGTAAATCCCATTTGCGTTCTGCAACAGGAGGAAAATATTGTACTGTTAAAATTAGTAATGACCCATTGTGACATATTAGCAGATTAGGCAGATTAAAATGGACATAGCGAACACTATTTAAATGCCATTGTAATACATGACATCGCATAGGAAAGATACTGTTTCAATAATTCAGACAGTTATTCTTTCTGATATTTCTGCTGAATATTAATTTTTTCCTAATTGTAACTACTGAATTCTAATAGTATTATGATCTCATCAAGCAAAAGGTATTACAAACTAGGAGATAGTTATTTTCTAACGTGAAAACCTATGAAGTGAAATAGACCACTAATATGCATCTTTAACAACAGATTATATGCACAAAACCAGAAATTATCTCCCGCATATCAGCTGTGCTCATCAAATTAGTCTAAGGCATTGAGATGCTCAAACCCTGTTGCAATTCAAAAAGAACCAGAATAAATGCCAATTTAATCAACTTTGCAAGTTATTTATTCCAGTTACTTCTGAAAGACAAAACAGTAAAATATATCAAACCTTACTGAGCTAGAAAACTAGCAATTTGGTTTTAGGCATAAACACATAAAAAAAAAATCTTTTTATTACATAGTCATACTTATAGGGTTTAGAATATAATGGGATTTCATAATTTCCATACTCTATACACCCATAGGAATACGTAATGTATCAGAAAATCTGGACAATGCAATGACTGAATAACAGCTTGCTAGGCAGATAGATGTGAATTTTATTAGTATAATCCTACAGTAGGCTGGACTGAGTCTTAAACCTGGTCCACAATCCTTGGAAATGAAAAGTCTGTATGCATTCCATCGTCTGTACTGTCTGTGTTATGGGGGCGGGGGAAAGAAAGTCTCCTCATGCTGAAAACCTGTACAACTACTCTGAAAAATTAAGTCTCCTATAATAAATATTGCATGTCTTAACTTTTCTCATTGGTTGAGCATCTTTGTCAGGGAGATACCTGACAAAACAATTATCTACACATAAATATATCTTCATGTTTACCAGCTGAAGATTTTCACCTGATACATTTACATTTTAGTTTCAAGTGAGAGTTTATCTTAAACACATTTCAAATGACAAACACTTTTCTACTACAGTTTGTTTCAATCCATATAAAGAGAGTAATGTGGATTTAAAACAAACATTTCAGATGTGAGACTTAATTTCCAGATCTAAGAGCCTCGAAGTCGTTAAAACAGAGATAGTTTCATATATAAGATGCTGAGACTAAAATGATTCCTAATGCACTACAGAGGTACAGCTCAATTGCTCCTATTAAAAATTACAGGAATGCTATGCAAAACTTACCAAGGTCATTTTTAATTTGTCAGTTACTGATGAATTATAGCTTTGTATCTTCTCTTTAACTTCTTCTTTACTGAGATAAAGATGAGGTTCTCTCTCCTTCTGAACATCCTTCAACAACAGACACAGCAGTTTTAGAAAACAAAATAAAAACCAATTCTTTAATGACTTTGGATATGAGCATTCTTAGTCCAAGTGGTAATTATTCCACAGAGGCTCAACATAATTAGCTGTACAGCAATAGAAAGGATTAACATGTTAGGCAAATCAAACAGAACACTTGGACTGAACAGAGACGGTTAAATCAACACACCCAAAGACACTTGTGTCCTTTTTTTTGCCAACTGTTTTCATTCAAATATTTATCAGCAGTATGTAAAACAGTTCAGCTCATTTTATGGCTCGATTTGCTCATGTTAATGCTATGCAATATTGCTAAGAATGCAGTTGCAACTTTCATGAAGTACTACGTAGGGCACAAATGGGTATTTCTAAACATAAGAAGAATATATATGAAAATAGCAGCACATACTAACAAGTAACACCAACAATCCCCGTGTGTGCCAGCAACGTAAGAGCACCCCTGCATTGCAACGTGACAGACAGCATGTTACGCATAGGGTCACTGATTACTATGTGAACCACCACAACTAACTTTCTAGCTATATAACGTTACACTAAATTCATGTTTTTTCCATGGGGAAGGCCCTATTAGATTTCTCAACTGCTGCTTTTACAAGCTTGCTACAGATTTTACATGCAGCAATAAAACCAATCCCTGGAGCTGGATTTTATCCAAATAAACATTTGTTCCCAATCCGTATTCCTGCAGCAAACTAGCATTATAAATACACTCCGGTTTCTACCGCTAGCACAAATGCCATATATAGTATGAAAGAGTTTCAGCTCTCAGCTTTAATGATTTAAGATTTCACTTAGAAAGGGAGAAGCTTTGAAGAAGCTCGAAGCTTTCGGGGTACATCTGAACACAGAAATATACATTCACTGCATGGACAAACCATCAAGTCCTAGTGTTCAAATCTGTCCTCACAAGCAGATCCCGTGGGGCAAAGCTTATCCTACGACAAGATTTCCCTGACTTCAGTGGCCAGTCCTGTATCACAGTCTTCTGGACAACACTCGGCACACACCTTTGCAGGCACTTCAGTTTGTCAGAAACAACCCCAAAGATGAACACATCTGGCATGCAACTGTAAGTTTCCATTTACCAGAAAGAATCTGCAGAGCTTTTTCTGTCTCAATTTAAAACCAGCTAGTTTTAGTTCTTTTGGGCTTAGTTTTTCTTTTCTTATATGGTATTTTACTAAATGACATGCTGGAGTGACTTTTTTTCCCATAGCTATAAAAAGAAAGGTGTGGTCTGAATAGAGAACTGGGAACTAGAAACCTTGAATTCTGATCTGGGCTCAGATACTGATTTCCTGCATAACACAGACAAACATACCTTTACTTCACAGATGAGGAAACTGAGGGAAAAAGGGAACACCAACCAAATACAACTCTCCTATTAGCTTCTTAAGCACTGCTTTAAGATTGTGTAGCATCTCACACAGTTGCAAGACCCCACCTAGCCTATTACAAAATACCATTTAATATTATTAAATATTTTATAGAATCCAAGTCTCCATTCTCACTAGAGAAATTAAAGTTTCTTACCCTTCTATTTTTCATCTTCCCCCTCCCCTAAACTGCCATAATAATGACAGATACAGCTTCATCTAAACCCACTTCATCTCCCCAGAGGCCCTTACAGCTTTGTAGTGTTCCATTCGGGGGCAAATGAAGTTATAAAACAAAACAGGCACAGGAAAAAAAAAAATCTAAGTACTAACTTTTTCTCTGAAATCAAAGTAAATGTTATTGCTCTTTTCATGCTTAAAATAAGTATCAAAAGCAATGACCCACAGTCCGAGTCTGGAAATACGGGCACTCTAAATGTTGACTTCAAATAACATTGTGAGAGTAGGCCGAGACAACCTTAGCAGTGGATGCTGAAGGGACAGGGAACAGTCTGCAGCCATAACGGTCTAACAGAGCACGTGCCACCTATATGACTGATTTCACGAACCCATGCTTTAACTTGGAACATTCCTAGTCTGTGTAGTCACAGACAAGCCCCTTCACATGGATACCAGCCAAGACTCATCTCTCCGAGACACGAGCATGTCATGGAGTTCACACCTCCCCAACCTAACACTACTGATACCGAACTTCCAATTATGGACACCTGTTTCAATATTTATCTTTATTCTATTGCTGATGGTTCAAGCAGGTACCTCATCTACCCTGGTGGAGCTTATTAGCATCATGATTATTGAAAATCATCTACAATATCCATTATTATCAAGAGAAAACAGTAACAAGAAAAGAGGAACATATCACCCTTTCCTATGTTCAACCTTTGTTTAAAAAAAAAAACCAAAACAAACCCCCAAAAAACAGAAACACAACCCAAAAAACCCAACAAAACTTCACATTAACTTCTGTGCACCTCAAGAGATTTAATTTCACAAAAATGACTTTTAATAACCACAAATGACAAAGAGAACTTACTGCCTTTAATTACATAGAGTAAGTTCACAAGGCTGACAGCTAGAAAACAACCTGCCTAAATTATATTAATTAAAAAAGAGAAAAAACCTCAGTAAACAAATTAGTAAGTATGAACAGACAGTAAGAAGTAACTTTCTCCTATTTTCATATAGGAGAGTTTTCACATCCATTTCTGTTCTCCCAAAAAGTCACTTTTTTCTAGCAAAGTAATAGAAATTTGGTTAGGTTAGAAAAAACACAACCCCATGAGATCACTCTAGTCCTGTGGACTGCCATGAAATCAGGCATAATGAGCAAAACCCAAGCAAGCTGATTTCTGATAGACTCGCTCTGGTGATGTCTTGGAGTCAGGTCTGTAACGTGTATTACAGCACCAAACGCTAAAAAGGCTCTTGATAAAGCCAAATGTGTTTGCAAGAGTGGGCTTGAGGGTGCTGGAAACGACAGGAACACCAGGAGAGAAAGGGGTGACTGCACATGTTGGTGATGAGCTAGAGGTAGCAGCTTCATCAGGCAGGTGGTGGCGGGGACAGGGAATCAGCTGATGTTCTCAGCCTGTCTTCTCAGGTGAGGCCCCGCTACAGAGCTGCAGATCGCCGGGCATCACCAGGGGAGTCATCATTCCCTCACCAATTAAGACACGATTCCCTACTGGAAGGTACCACTGGAATTTCTGCCTTCTTGCATCGGCACTAGAGGCCAGGCAATTTTGGCAAAGTTTAATTCAGCAGACAGAAAAGGTAGAGCCCTGTTTATGCAAAAGCTGAGATAACCTCCTTCTGTAGCACACTGCCAACAAATGTAGCTATAACTCCTTTTCTAAACAACCAAAGTCCGTGCCTCAACTAATTTTAACAGCGTGTAGATTATGCAAAACTATGAACTGAATACAAAAAAAGACTACTAGGATTAAAACATTAAAGAATAGACCCAAATCCGTTCAAGAGGAATGCTATACACAACAGACAAACATTGTTTACTTCAATCATCATTTTCACTACAGTCCACCATCCTTGATCATCAAGACCACAAGACAGTGAACAATGGACAATACATGTCGCAGGAAAGGAATTCTAACTCTATCCCACTGGAAACCTAAGCCTGAGACCTTCATAAATTAATCTGGAGATACTGTAACCGTAGGATAGGGGGCCGTAGATTGTAACCAAAGTAATAGGTAATGAAGCTAACTAACCATGGCAAGTGGCAAGATGACCGTGTCAAGATACAATGCTGCTATGTTTTTTGTACAGTCCCTACCCAACCGGACAATATTAATCTTATAAAGTAAGTTGCTATGGACAGGTACAAGTGCACCTGCACAACAAGGGTACTGCGCATGCCTGCACGAAGGGGGTCATCCAGTGGACACAGGTGCAAGACCACTGATGACCACCAGAGACCCCTGAGGACCACCGACTCAAATCACTGAGCATGCGTGACGGGGAGGAGAATATGGAAATGAATTCTAAGAAATGATTATCATAGGACTGCCTTTTCTGAGAAAAATGATGAATATGTATGTTTTGATCTTACATAACCTGTGTGTTGGCGATCACCTGGCATGCACGTTGGGTGGAGCTATCCCCCGTGCATCCAGCGCTGCAATAAAGAATGCCTGCCTTTTAACACTACATTGGTGTTACGAGGTTTATTCCCGGATTTCGGTGACAATACCTTCCCATTCCCAAACAAAAGCTCAAAACACTCCAACTGCACACACATCACAGCACATTACTTCAACCAAGCAAACAAAACCTCCTCGCTAGCTAGACACCAGTGCCTACAGAAAACCACATTGCATTGACAGTAAACTCCACGTGACTGCTGTCAGGAGCAAGCCAATGAATGAATACCTTGTTGACTTTATCATGAACAAGAAATCTCGGCCCTCTATGATTCACTGGGTCAGCTGCTCTCAGTCAAGTACCATTAAGTCACACACAGATTTGAGGCACCTGTGTATTTTCCTAATTATACTTAACCAACATGCAAAGAGAAGCTGACAAGACAGTATAGTTTTTTTCCCCAATTTTCCTGGACATAATTGCTCTCAGTATACAGTGGCACTGAACTTTTGCCATACAGCTTTGTCTAGCCATGCTTTAAGTTAAAATAAATCTTCTTTGACCAGTGTACTTAGGTGGGTGAAGACTTGGCAAACTCACTTCCCACCATTCTCTTATTTCCTTCTGCATGTGCCACCTCATAACAGGACCCACTACAAGAAAGTCCTCTGTTAACTCTGCTTAGGTCCAGCAGACCAAATTCCACTTTGTTATCTCAGCAGGTAAATTTATGACCTGTAGAAGACTGAGTCATCCAATACAACAGAAGAGTAACAGCAGTAATTATCTTATCTCTACCATGCTTCACAATATACTTTTATCACCTTGGTCTGAAATGGCCACCAAGTGGCTGAAACCATGCCTGTTCAGGGTGGGACTACTGGGAAAGCAATTACACCAACCCCAGCTGCTTTAAACAAAGGAGCAAGGGCATTTCAGAGGTGAGATTTAGATGCTACAGCAGAGTAC